AATTCCCGTGATGTTCAATTGCCTCATCGTAGCGCAGGAGTGACTCTGGCTGTCGACTGTGAAGTACAGCGTTATATTATATTATATTATATTATACAATATTACAAGTAAGTAAAGTAAAGTAGAGGTTTCTTTTCTAGCAGAGTCTTCCAAGCTGAAAAGGGTTTGACATTTTTGGCTTCCAGATGCTCAGCTAAGAGGAGGTCCTGCCAGAAGCGCTACCGTCTGACTGAGTTAGTCGCTAGATGGTTCCTTCCACATAGGTCAGCGTTTACTGGTCGTGCAGCATGTAAAAGGAAAAAAGCCCTGTACATTGGATCACATCTTCAGCGTGTCAAGACCAGTGTTAGGTTGTGCAGGACGCATGATTTTTACCAAAAGAATACGTCAATCACTCGCCGAGATTACTATTCGTGCTCTGCACATGCCAGGATAGTCTCCACCAACGCCGATCTTCACGCCATTCTTGAAGTTGTTAGGAAAACCACGTAATCACCTTGTAGGAAACAAAACCTAGGAAGACGGACGCGAGGCAGCTGAGTGATGGCACATTTATCATTCGTTGTTCCATTACGGAACACAGGGAGTGTTGGATTCGTCGTACATTATCCATCTTGTCGATTCGCATGAGATCCTATCACCTGGTCTGATTATACCTCGACTCCGTCCTCTACATCAGAGAACCATCGCTAGCATAAGCTGCTATTCTCCAACATGGCTAATGACTCGGAACTTGATGCTTTTTATGAGGATCTAAGGAAACTCCTCTGCAAAAAAATCCTTCTATGAAATCCTTCTCTAATTTGTCGTGGGTGACTTTAATGTGAAAATTGGGATGCCGGAAGATGGGATAGGATCGATCAAGGTCACTAAATGAAAATGGTAACCGTTTTGTTGTCTTATCCGCCGCACGACTTTTTCCTGGGGACCATCTTTATGAAGAAAGAACACCGGCGGTGGACATAGGAGTCGCCCAAGGTTCGACTCATGCGAGATCGACCATATTCATCAACCCAAGGTGGTGCTTACCGGACTTCTCAGTGGTACCAATCTAAAAAAAGTCTGTCACCGTGCTGGAGGATGGAGAAAAGTCCTATATGACGGCGTCAGATTGGAGAGCTCTTGACCACTTGTGACTGGCCCATCGAGGGGGACTCAGGACTTCTTAGAGGATTGAGTGCCTGTGGTGAGAGTGCCTCAATGACTTGAACAATGAATAGGAAAGAATTTCGAAAATCACCAAGGATCTGCCTAAGGAGAAGAGAGCACTGATGCTGGATCCGACTGCACCACATCTCGAGCGACTAACAGCCAATAAAAGTTGCAGAACAGCTTTGCAAGAAGTTCGAAAGTGTAGGCAATCGAAACTTTGAAAGCAACACAGTCTAGAGAAGTACCGCCGAGAGCTTTTCGAGTACCATATCCCGCTGACAACATTAATAAAGGAAGATGGAATCACGAAGTGATACCACACCAATTTCTTTCACTCATCAATGCTCGTGTCAAACTACGTTACTCCCACCGGAGAATTGCCAGTACGGATTCTGTCTGCTAGAGTTCGCGCTGCAATCCAGATGATGAAGACAACCACCTCTCCGGGACCGGACCTCTTTTCGCCCGACCTTTTAAGAGCCGGAGGAAATCGTCTACACAAGATACTTACGGCGAACCTAGCGTTACCTTCAGAAAGGAATCCCGACCAGTGGGGAACCTGGAACAATACTCCATCGAAAGAAGGGCGACGGGAAGGATCTTCCGTTCAATATGCCTGCTTAGCGTGCTCTATAAGCTCTTTACGAAGATTTTCCCCGCATATCAAGGCACTGGATGAAGCCTAATCCGCAGAATAAACTGGATAACGCATTTGGCTGCGTGGATCACATCCCTCCTTTTCGAAGGTTATTGGGATTTGCCGATAGTACTGCTTACCTCTCGTCCTAACCTTCGTCGATATGAGAAAGCGCTTGACAGTGTCGAGACTAATGCCATACTGTCACCGCTCGTTGACCAAGTGGTGGACCTGGGTCCTTCCTACGTGATGACATTGACCGACTGCTACAAGAACTGCTCAGCTCAGCTTTTTCCCCCCTTAGCATACTAATTTCATAAGGGGTTTGACAAGGCGACACCTGCCGCCAAAGCTTTTAACGCCGCCTTGCAGTGGGAATAAAATCATTGGATTACAATGAGAGCGGTGTACAAGAGAGATCCCTCTCGAACCTCCGTTTTACGGACGGCATTGTTCCCTTC